TCTGAGGCCTCTTTGCAATCAACATCGAATACTAGGGAGGGGGGGAGGATTAGCCCTCGAATATATCAAACTCTGATGCAAGAAAGTTATTTCGCAACAACGGGTCTCCAATAGGAAACGTTGTAAGAGCCAAATGGTTAAAACGAACCGTGCTCATGTAGTAGGCCCGAACTCAGACATGAAACATAAACACTTTTATAGTGACTTGCAAAGAAAGTTCTCTTTGCCAACATCTTATATCCAAGATAAACTCGACCATTACGCCTACGGGCTACATTACTTCGAGTTCGAATCATTCACTTGACTACTAAGCCTACAGGATACTTTATTTCGAGTCCGAGCAAGCACTCAATCGACCATTATGCCTACGAGCTACATTACTTCGAGTTCGAATCATTCACTCGACTACTAAGCCCACAGGCTACTTTATTTCGAGTCCGAGAAAGCACTCACTCGACTATTACGCCTACAGGCTACATTACTTCGAGTTCGAATCATTCACTCGACTACTAAGCCTACGGGCTACTTTTATTTCGAGTTCGAGCAAGCACTCAATCGACCATTACGCATACGGGCTACATTTCTTCAAACTCGAATCATTGACTCAACTAATAAGCCTAAGGGCTACATCACTTCAAGTTTGAATAAGCATTCGCTCAATTATAGAGGCTATGAAGTCCAAATTTGATTAAGTTGTTTAAATGAATGTTTTCACAAAACAAAAGCAAGTCGGCAAAATTGTCTATATACAAAATTGTCTACATGATTGATTACAACGTAAAAATTAAGGACTAAGCTTCTTGGTCATCCTCAGAAGCGGTTTCTTCTCTATCAGGCTCCCCCATCCTCGGATCCGCTCTTACTCCCATCATCATCATCATTGTCATCATTATCGTCATCGAAAACTAGGGCTTCAGCATCGGCTTTGAGTTCTTTGGCCCTTTTTATCTCTTCAGCGAGATTGAAACCACGAGCATGGATCTCCTCGAGGGTTTCCCTCCGAGATCGGCACTTAGCAAGCTCGGCGACCCAATGTGCTCGAGTATCGGTAGTCTCGGCTGCCTCTCTTGATTGGACCCGGGAAGCTTCAGCGTCGGCCCGATAGACGGCCACGAGTGCATCCGCATCAGCCTTTGCCTTTTCGGCATCAGATTCAGCCTTTGCAAGTACAGAGGCCAACCGAGCCTTGAGCTCCTATATTCTTCTTGCTTGAACCAGGCATTTTTCATTCATTCTTTGAAGTTGAGTTCCGGCCGATGATAATTGGGCTCGAGCAGTTTCTTTCACTACAGCAAATCGGTCCATACCTTCTTTCCACTGCAAAGACTCCACTTTTATCACGTCGACCTCCTCACGAAGCTTCCTGATCATCTCAATTTTTCGCTACAACTATGAGACCGAAAATTTAGCCATCGTTCCGGTATCAAGCCCATAGGCTTTTAAAAGTATCATTACCTGCTCAGACAAGTCAGTCTAATTTCGATAAGCCTTGGCCAACTCAGCTCGGAGGTCTTTTATTTCCTCTTCTCTTTGCCCTAAGAGAAGTGTTAGGGATTTCCTCTCATCAACAACCCGTTGAAGGTCGGCCTCATATCGACGCAGCTCGTTTTGGGACCTAGAGCATGTTTCTCGATGAACTGCCATTGCCTACAAAAGAAACGTGAAACGAAGTTAACAAAAAGTAAACATGAAGATAGTATCGACAAAATAATTTTAAGGATTACCTGATTCAAAGCCTGCCACACCCCATGAAAAAGATCCGGTTCATCACCAGAACCGTCAACGTCCTCGACACCGATAAACAGGTCACGAAAGGGATCCTCTCCATCGTGAGGCCAGTCTAGATCGAGGTCCCCATGAGCTTCAGCTTCCCGAATCACCCCTTCGGAAAAAACGGGAAAGGTGGGCGAATCGTCGATTACTGCTGCCCCAAAAGAATCACTTGGAGCATTCTCTTCGGTTCGAAGGGATTCGAGGGCCCTTTCAGACATATCCCTCATCCATTGGCTCCGATGAGATGAATCTTCGATCTCCGATAATTCGGGGATTCCACCCAAATTTCTCTTCGCTATATCCTCAGTTCGAGGCGGAGCCTCATGAAGCGGCATCGATCCAGCAGCCGATTGGGCATCGGTGGTTCTCTTTGTTCGGGCCGCCAGTGCGGACCCATAATTTTCTTCTTCTTCTTCTTCTTCTTCATCTACATCCCTTAGACGCAGAACCGATTCCACAGTCAAAGGAATGGTATTCTTGTTCGGCTTACGAGCCGTCCTCTTCTTCGGTTTTGGACCTTCGGGAACGAAGGCTCTTTTCCTTTTATTTTCCTTCACCGGCTTTGGGACAGAGGCCAAAGTTTTTTCCTCGTTGGACAAGGGCCTCAAAACCGCATCTTTACCCAGACCTGCATATGGAAAATTTTGTTAAGATATTCAGAAACTACCTCGTTCGAACTATCAAAGAGTACGAGAAAGGGGCTTACCATGATTTTTGGCCTCCCACCGACCCTTTGACAAATCGCGCCATGAGCGCTCGACGTATGTGAAAGTCGAGACAAGAGCTCGTACCCAGTTCTTGAGATCGGGAACTGCTCCGGGCATCCAGGGAACCGCTATATCATAAAAAGGAAAATATCGATGAGAAAAGAAATGAAAGAACAAAATAGAAGCAACAGCAGGATCACACTTACGTTTCATATTTCACTCCTCGGGAAATGGCATCTTTTCGGTCGGAATCAGGTCCGAAGTCCTCACTCAAACGAACCTACTCATTCAACCTCGATCCCTATCCTCGTCAATACTCGAGAACAGATCCTTGGAAGCTCGACGCTGAAGTTTAATTAACCCTCCTCGAAAAAGTCGAGGACGATATAATCGGATAAGATGGTCGAGGGTGTACGGCATCCCCTCGATTTTGCTCACGAAATATCGGATCAGGATAACGATCCACCAAAAAGAAGGATGGACCTGGCCTAAGGTTATATGGTATTGACGACAGAAGTCAATAATAACGGAATCGAGGGGACCTAACGTGAAAGGGTAAGTATACACATTTAAAAACCCTTTCACGTAAGAAGTGATATCTTCGTCAGAAGAAGGAATCATTATTTCTTTTTTATCCCAATTGCAATATTTCTTTAGGTGTTGGAGATGCTTCTCGGTTATCGAACATATGTACCTCGATACTGGTTCACATCGGCTAGGGACCAATGAGCCTTTATCGACCTTAAAATCAGAAGTAAGAACGCACGCTCCGGGAACGCACTCCTCAGGCTGTGGTTCTACCGGTGTATCATCGGCGACACATTGTGAAGATGGAGCCTTCTCCTTCTGAGGAATGGTTTGTGACATTTTCACCATTTTCGAATTCAGGGGCGAGGAATAGAGGAAAGTGACAAAGATTTTATAGGATTGAAAATGGGCTTTTGTAAAAAGAAATCACAGATTTATAGGTAATTTAGAGAATACGAAAAAGAGACTTGGGAAATTTGGAAGATAGAAGATATAAAAGTGGTAAATGATAAAATGAAGGGTTATTTATAGGTTCAAGCGATGGCGGTTCAGTATCAGCGGTGGCCGACCACCGCCTGACATGCATTAAATGTCTTGAAAGACTAAACCGATAGAATAGCTATCACATACGTCATGGTCGAACCCGATGGAAACGTCAGGTTATAATCCGATCGAGCCATTAAAAAATCATATCGTTTCTCACCACATTCTTTCTGAGAAACGAGGGGACTATTTGTATACAGTTGAAATAGATTTCGGCCTTCCTACGTTCGATCGAGTTTGAATGGTAAGCAATCAGAGTAGGGTTTCGGGATGAGTTCCGAAGACAGTACAAACGAGCCTCGAGTCTGAAGGCTGATCGAAGAGTCGACTCAATACTTTTATCTAGCCCGTGGCCAAATCGATCCGCAAAGCATTGCTTCGAGGTCAAAAATGCGCTACGCCCACCCCGAAGGTCGAACTCAAGCCAAACCGATGGCTCGACCCAATAACGAGTTCGAGCTAGTATCGAGCTCACAGACAAGAGCCGTTACAACAGCACTAAGGGAGAGAATCTTGGCGGGAATCGAGGGAGAGACAATTCATCATGGGTCTTCCACTATATGCTTTATTTTATTATAAACAAAGTAGAATCCCTCTATTATAAAATGGAGAATACTTGTAAGCAAAAAAGAACCGGAGACACTGTAACAAAAGATCACTTCTCATCTTGAAAGATATCTCCTTGTGCTTGTTCTATTTTACTCTATTCATTCTTTTGCTCACTATTCCCATTCTCATAGTCAAGAATACACATATTTCTATTTCTCTATACGATTTGTATCAAATTGTATCACATATCCTTATAACCATACACAAATTTAACGTTATCTGATTTTTTCGGGTAAACATTCTCCTTCCAACAATCCTACTTTTCAGGGTCCTTTCTCTTTCTCTCTCTCTCTTTGTAGGTGAAATTTTCACATTTTAATATAGATAATGTTTTTGGTTATAGAATGATATCTGCAGCTTGTACTTTTGATTTTTGAGTCAGTTTATTGGATGTTTAAGGTGGAAGAGAATTATATATATTGATGATGTGGATGTCGGTTGATGAACTGCATTTGGATGGAAAAGTTTCAACCTTTCTTTGTCTTTTCTTCTTCTGGGATGGATTTCCAGTTTTATGCGGAGTATTGTATTGTTCTCCTTCTATGGACAAGTGGTTGAGCTGAAGGGAATAATTTTGTATATGCTTGATTGAGTATTTTTTAGCAACAAATTAAAATGTAGGTTATCTTGCTTACAGATTTAGGGCATATTATCACAGTCTGTGTGTTAAGATATAGAGTTATAATTAGTGGAAAGTCATTGATGAGGCATGGTTTGATTCTGCTGCAATATTTGAATCTGACTGCAGCGATGAAGATTACCAGAGTGTCCCTGATGGTATGGCATTTTGATTTTCAACCTTCTTTTCCAGTTGTTAATAGAATTTCAATTTGTATAAACTTAGTAATACAAATATAGACACAATTATAGCAGATGTGCTTTCTCTCAACAGCTTTGAGGGTGAGCAAACTAGTGTAGCTTCAATGAAAGATGCTAACCATGGGGATGCTAATATAAATGTCCACGTCCAATTATCCGAACTGAAGAGGCAGAGGGAATTGTTAAGCAATCTTGCTAGCAGCTCCGACAGTTGCTCCGGTAAAACTGTAAAGCAACCAAGCAGTTTTGTGCAGCCAAAAGAGGTGGATTCTCGAACAAATCTTGATGGACCTAACGGTGAGGTGCGGCCTGTTTCCCTTGATGAGATATCGTCCTCGGAAAATGAAGGTAGTGAAAGGGAGGATCGTTTGTTGGAGAACTGTGGAATTCTTCCAAACAACTGTCTGCCTCGTCTTAGTCTTACCTCTACTGTTGTGCCAGTTGAGAAGAGATCTCTAAGCTCTAGTCCTCGAAGTTCAAGAAAGAAAGCTGCCTTAAAACTTCCCTTTAAATGGAAAGAAGGAAATTCTCATGCCACTCTACGTGAGTTTCTATATCTAGCTTTTGATTTAGTTGCTTGGCGCATAGTTCCTCAAATGTGCATCACATGATGGACACTGCTGTTGTTCATTTCATTGTTCATAAGCACCTAATAATTTGAAGTAAATAAAAATATTACGGGCATGGTATGAAAATGAATTTCTTATAGAGACATGATTCATTGCTTTAAATAGTTTTGATTTGGAACAATCTATTGTCTTTGGAGCAGTCGAACATTCCTTCTGCACTTCTGAAGCATGAGATATTTCTAAGCAAGTGCCTCTTTACCAAATAGTATAAAATATAGGGGTGTGAAGGTGAACCAAGGGAATCCTTGTCAAGGACCTTGATTCTCTGCTTTACCTTGGAACGGATCTTAATAATCCACTTCTAAGTTCTAAGGGAAAATCTAGTTTCTCACAGTCCAATTTTGACCTCCTTAGACTCATTTCATAAATCAAGCTGTAAAATCAAGAGAGGAGGAAAAGAAGAGAATAACTATGACAGAGGAAAGTAATCCTTGGCATCATATGTCTATCTCTGCGCCTGAAACCGAATGTTTGGAAGCTTATATAAATGTTTGAGCATGAAAGTTCTCTATAAATTTTGATTTTAGATGGGAAAAAGTGATGGTTCAGTTATCAGTGATCCTGTCACCAGATAAAGTAAAAGAGAATACAATGAGCTAACTTAAATTTGTTTTTGGGTACAGTTGCATCTAAAACCCTGCTTCAAAGGCCCATAGCTGGTAGCCAAGTACCAATTAGCCCATTGGAGAAGAAGTTGCCTGATAGTTGGTCCCATATTGAACCGAGTACCTTCAGGGTCCGGGAAGGAAACTATTTCAGGTAATGCTTGCTTCCATTGCACATACTTACAGACACATAGGTAAGCACTTATTTTATGAGCATAAAAAAAGCTTAGGTAAAGTCTTTCATTCGGACAAAGATGAAAAGCTTAGGGAAAATCTAAATGAGCATAGTTAAAGATGTGTTTTGTGGACGTTGTAGTTATCATTAGTATGTGCATACATGCCATCTGCCACTGCAACTTTGTTTATGTTGTATCATTCACATATTGTAACTTCTGCAGGGACAAAAAGAAAGAGTTTGCTGCAAATTATGCAGCATATTATCCTTTTGGTGTTGATGTATTTTTATCTCAGAGAAAAATTGATCATATTGATCGACTTGTGGAACTTCCTGTCATTGAACACTCTGAGACACTTCCATCCATTCCTGTAGTGAATATTCAGGTATCTTTTATATTAGCTGTAAGAGAATAAGTAGTGTATTTCTTTATTTTTTCTCCCTCCATTAGCTCTAGCTATCATTAAGCTGGCCTGATGTTAGCTGAAAGATATGTAATTTCTCTGCTAAAGATGTGTTCGAGTCTCTTGAAAGTCAAAGTTAATCAACACCCAAATGGTTTTTTGAATTATAAGACTTATTCATCTCCCTGTAGGTTTCCAGTGTAACCACCAATCCTGGCACATTGTGGTGTGTGTTTGGTTAACTATTTTTGGTCATCATAATTTAGGCGTCTAACTTCTAGTAATAACAGTATAAGTTGAAAAAAAAATGGCTAGGGAATATCTTCACAGTTGAAAGGCATATTTAACATTTCCATTGCAGTTGTGAACTTATTCTCAAGCCAGTGGCTTTTACCCTTATTCTTACTCATACAAAATCATATTTGATAGCATGAGAGCGTTACTTTCTTGTGTTCAAGTAGTTTGTATTCTCTCGATGAACCATTTCGTATTCAGATATTCATTCATTTGAGCTTCTAAGTTGCTGCTTTTACCCTCTTTATTTTTTTTGTACAGGTGCCACTATATCCTGCCGCGTTTTTTCAGGGTGAAAGTGATGGTGAAGGAATGAGTTTTGTCTCATACTTTAAGCTTTCCGAAAGTTATGCTAAGGAACTTCCTTCTCATTTTCAAGATAACATCAGAGTAAGTTCTAGTTACCATGTCGGTTCCTTGTTTCTCTTGCCTTTCTTTAGTTGTATATTTCTCCCGTTCCTGCTTAATCATTGCTTCTACATATTTCTCTTTTCTTTCATTTCAACTTGTTCCAGAGTTCTGTCTCTTGTAACATTCATTTCTCTGTTGGTATTATCCTTTCTCACATTCTGGTACTTTCTCTCTTTACGCATCCTCTTGTGGTATTGAGTCATCCGGTTTCCTGGTCATTATTCCATTTTTTTTTTCAAATTTTCTGTTTGTCAATAAACCATCATTCAGTTTTTACTGAACATTCATTTTTCCTATTTAACCTGCTTTCCTCTCTCCCCTTTCTTATTGAACAGAGGATAATGGATGAGGAAGTGGAAAAAGTGAAGGCTTTTCCGACAGATGGTACTGTTCCCTTTAGGGAACGGTTGAAGATATTAGGTCGTGTAGCAAATGTGGAGGACTTCCGGTTAAGTGCAACAGAGAGGAAGATTATGCATGCCTACAATGAAAAACCTGTTCTTTCACGTCCTCAACATGAATTCTATAAGGTATAATGGCTAGATTTTGTTATTCTTCGGTTCTGAGTTAGATTTGGTTGTACATCGTACTCCTATTTTCATGTGGGCACTAATACGAGTCAATAAAATTTGTTATTAGTCTTGTGTCTGGCAGAATGATTTACGGAGATTTCATTTTCTTGAAAAATTTTAGTCTAAGAAAAAATAAATTAATTTCCTCTAGAAATAAGGATAATCCTCAATTGATGGGGGAATCCATAAATTTTGAGTGTTATACGATGATTAAGATAATGTACTCAATTAAGAGTCTACTATTGGCTCTGAGATTTTCTTTTTTTAAGAAAAGAGCACGAACCATTCTGGTGTTGAAACTTGGAAGTGTGGTAGACATTCTTATTCTCTTGGTGGAAAACATTATTACATGGCCTTTGCCAGTTCTCATTTGAAAGAGCATTCATATTTTTATTACATAAACTATGTTGTTTCACATCGTAATATGATCTGATTTTAAAATGTTTAATTTGCAAACATTGTATCATTGTCTCATTTCTAGCATATTGAAGGAGAAATCTTAGGTTCTTACTGAGTTGCTAATGGTCTCTTTGTAGGGAGAAAAGTATTTTGAGATTGATATAGATATGCACAGATTCAGTTACATCTCTAGGAAGGGTTTTGAAACATTCCTAGATAGGCTAAAGCTATGTTGCTTGGACGTAGGCCTCACAATTCAGGTGACTATATGTTCTCTAATTCAATACTTGTGTCATTTTCCTCTTCTTTTCTTTTTCTGGTTTGGAGATCAATCGTAAGCAATATTTTAACTTTTCAAATCAGGGTAACAAAGCTGAAGAACTTCCAGAACAGGTCTTATGTTGTGTACGGTTAAATGAAATCCATATGATATGGCAATTAAATGAAGTTACTGTTAGCTCATTTGTGTACTTGCTTGTGCCTCCATATCTCCCCCTTCTCCCAATTGATAGAGTTTTCAGCGCTTCGTAATGTATTTTATTATGAGGATATACATGTAGCTGGTTTCATACAGTAACAGAGCCTCAAGCCGGTTCGGCAAAATCCAATAGCTTTGGCTCAGACCTTGTATTTTTGTTAAAAGAATTCATTTAATATGTATAAATAATTTCCAAATCCCAGTAAATTGCCTCATTTGAAATCTATAACCCATAATAAACTCAAAATTCTAGCTCCACCTCTGGTTTCGTATGAACTCTTTTAAGATGATTTCTTGTACTGGACAAGACTTCTATGTGGATCCATCTTGGAATTGCCGGTATTGGGCACCTCATGCTGCCAACTACAGTTTCACATGTGTTCTGGAGAAGCAATGGCATATCGAGCAAGCTATAAATAACATGTTTGAATGATGAGAAAATAGTTATTAGAGTGAGTCTTCCACTTTGCTTTTATGTTTCATCATGCAACAACCTGTCTCAAATTTTTGCTGCAACACATGCTTTTATTACTGCTTTCTAAAATGTAAATATGCTCAAAATCCTGGAAGTAAAGAGATCTTAGATGTGATCCCACTTCCATTAATATATGGAGAACACGAAGCAAAACATTGCAGTAGCAGTTAAGATACTAATCTATATTAGGTTATTTCAAAGAAAACTATGTGAAGAGAAAAAGAATGGTGAAATCCAAGATTTACAAGGAGCAAGAGTTGCCCACTCTGTTTCCATAGCATGAACTATGGTTAAGATCGATGAATCACTTCACATAAGGGAATTTTTATCCGAAAGTCTTAACTCTTTCAGGTTTCTCTACTTAAATGTAATGACCCGACCGATCGTTTTGTGAGTCATAGCCCTGTTTTCCCATTTACTACTCATTTTATACTTTATAGCTGTTATGTGACTTGCTGAGGTAGTCGGTTCAGATCCATAGTGATTTCATACTAAAATGAGACACTTAGTCTCAAGGTTGAAAGCTTAAGTTGAAATGATTGACCAGATATTGATATTTGGGTAAACAACTCCGGAATGAAGTTTTAATGGTTCTATTAGCTCCGTTGGGTGATTTTGGACTTAGGAGCGTGTTTAGATTGTGATTTGGAGGTTCATCGTCGAATTAGGCTTGAAATGACGAAAGTTGAAATTTTTGAAAAGTTTGTCCGGGAGTGAACTTTTTGATATCGGGGTCGGATTTTAATTCCGGAAGTTAGAGTAGTTCCATAATGTCAAGTATGACTTATGTGCAAATATTTGGGGTCAATCAGACATGTTTTGATAGGTTTCGGCGTCGTTTGTGGAAGTTGAATTTCCTTAGTTTTAATAGGCTTGAATTGGGGTGTGATTCGTATTTTTGAAGTTGTTTGATGTGATTTGAGGGCTCGACTAAGTTTGTATGAGGTTTTAGGACTTGTTGGTATGTTTGGTTGAGGTCCCAGGGGCCTCGGGTTGATTCCGGATGGTTAACAGACCAAAAGTTAAAGTTGAGTGACTGCTGAAGATGGACCTCTACTGGTGTAACTGCACCTGCGGAGCTTTGATCGCAGGTGCGAGCTTGCAGGTGCGGGCTGGCTTGCGCAAGTGCGAGATTGGAGGGGAGTGTGCAGGTGGTCGCAGGTGTGAGGAGTTTTCCGCACCTGTGTAGCCACAAGTGCGGCGAGATGTGCGCAGAAACAGAAAGCGCACAGGTGTGATAAGGAGTTCCGCATCTGCGTGACCGCAGATGTGGCAGGAGGACCGCATAAGAGGAAGTGGGCAAATGAACTAGGACTGCAAAAGCGTCCTGCTTGCTCACAGAAGCGAGTCCACAGAAGTGGAGTGAGGGACCGTAGGAGCGGAATGGGCAGCATATGTGTGTGTTATGTCGCTTCTGTGACGCCGCATAAGCGGTTAAGTTCCCGTATAAGCGGATGTGCTGGGAAGATTATTAAAACAAGGGTTCGCAATTTTGGCCTCATTTCAAATATTTCAAGCACGGGTTTAGGTGATTCTTGAGGGGATTTTCGAGAGGATTCATGAGTTAACTACCTTGTATTCATTTTTTATCAATAATCTTGCTTCCCCATTAATTTTCCCACCTAGTTGGTGTGTATTTAAGGTATAAATTGGGAGTTTGCGGCTAGGGGCTTGGAGAGTTTGATTTGGGGATTTAAATGACGATTTGGTGTCGGATTTTGATAAATTTGGTATGGTTAGACTCGTGGTTGAATGTGCTTTCTGATTTTGTGACTTTTATCAAATTTCGAGATGTGGGCCTGGGGGGCCATCTTTTGAGTCAATTTTTGACTTTTGATTAATAGCTTAGCATTTTATTATTTAGTTGATTCCTCTAGCCTGTATTGATTATATCGAATTGTTTATGGCTAGATTCGAGGCATTTAGAGGTCGTTTCGCGAGGCAAGGGTATATCGGAGTAGAGATTTGCTCGTATTGAGGTAAGTAACCGTTTTAAATTTGGTTCTGAGGGTACAAAATCCCGTATTACGTGTCATGTATTTTTTTTGAGGTGGCGCACATGCTAGGTGATGGGCGTGTGAGCGTGCACCGTAGAAATTGTGACTTGGTCAAATTTTATGGAACTGTGTAGTTGAATAATCTGTTGTCATATGTATATTTTCCATGTATTATAGAAATTGAACCACAAGTCATGTTAGAAATCATATTTTGACTATGTGTTGGCATTGTAGGGACCCACAGAGGTCGTGTACATATTACTTTGAAATCATATAGAGCTAGAATTAGAATGAAGGTTTTTTGACATGTCTAATCATGTTGTACTGTTGTACTGGAGCGCTTGACTACAGTCAAATATTCTTTTGTATTAATCAATTATAAGCATTATAAAGTTCAAAGAACTAAATACATTTTTGTTCAATGAGAGGAAACTAAGTTGACTTTAGCTAAACACCAGAGTGTAATTAAGAAAACAAATTTCCTTAATTGATAAGTAAATGAAGTACTTAAAGATTACTATCTAAATGTTGTTTCGGGAAGATAGATAGAAGTAAAATATTGCTAGTTACTTCCATGAGAAAGAACGGATAATGCTGTAGGACTGCTAACATTTTCCACAGTCCCAACGTGTGTTTTCCCAGTTAGCATATCTATAGTAATTTGAGCTACTTCTGCGAACCAGTCATCCTCTGGAAGCACACTGCACATTGAATTTCTTTTAATCAGTTTAAGTTATATGCATCACGGAGTAAGAAATAACATCACCTAAAAGGGTAATTACAAATAACTCTATATAATAATATTAATTGGAAGAAATGTTAAATAACTTGTTATAAAAGGTTAAATTACAAAATGGTGTAAGATCTTTCGCATTGTAAGTGCTCTTCACTTAAATTCTTCTTTATTACTCTCTCAGTCTCAATTTATGTGACAACGTTTGACTGGACTTCAGAGTTTAAGAAAGGAAGATTTTTGGAACTTGCGGTAAAAATAAGCTATAGATATTTGTGTTGCTATAAATTCTCATCAAGGTAAAGTGAGAAGTTTCAAGTTAAATTATTTGTAAATGTAGAAATGTGTTACTATTCTTCTTGGGACTAACTAAAAAGTAAATAGTGTCACATAAATTGGGATGGTGGGAGCAGTAACTAGTGACTGTGAAATAAGCTTTGTTTTATTTGCTATGGTATACCTGTAAGGGTCAATTTTGGTTGCAGCAACTGCTTTAATGGCTTTGCCTATAATGTTTTTGATTACTTGCTGAAGATTTTGAGACAAGTAGCGCCCTTGTGAAGTAAAGAGTATCACAAACTCCATATCTAAATAAAACTACAGTGGAAAATGGTGTTTCGGTTCTCAAGAATACAAGGTACTACTAAGTAATAAACTTGTGCATTTATAAAACGACAACAAAACATGAGAGAAAAATTTACAGAGATGGGTGAAAATAAATAATTTGACAAAAAAGCCAACCCGGTGTAAAACGCATCCCACATTCATACATGATCCAGGGAAGGGCGACAGCCTACCCTAACGCACGCATTAGTGCTGCTTCCATGATTTGAACCTATGACCTTTAAGTCACAAAGAGACAACTTTACTGTTGCTCCAAGGCTCCCCTTCAAAATAAATAATCTGACAAAAAAGAACAAACTTGTTGAAGCCCAAAAGGACCTAAAGGTGTTGGCCCTTGCTCAATCTCTTCCCAAAAGGTTTGATCTTCACAAACCATAGGATAATAGTTTCAGTGAGCCTCGTCAAAAGAATAGTAGCAAATCTTTCTCTTCCCACAAACATGTCCGATGTTATGCCAGCAATTCTAGTTAACTTCCTAAACAGTTCCTGAAATACTGGAGATGGAAACCACTATATCTTTTCTAGATTTTCATCCATATTTATGTACATGTCGGGACTCAAATAAACACCACCATCTTCTAAAAAAATGGGTTCAAGTGCATGTTGCATACAAAAGCTGTCACATAATTGATCAACTAGACGCTGGAGTCTTCGCTTCAGTTCTCTCTGCTCTACAGTGGGATTGCCTATCTGTATTCCGTTTAGATGTATCATCTGCCTTATTAGGTTGTTGTGAATATGAAAGCTTGGCGACTGCACGAGGGATTAGCTCGTTCGGTAGCAATAATGCATTGGCTACTAAAGAAATCTGTTCAGATTCTGTCGCAGCCATCCTTACAATTCTATTTACAGATCCTTCAAGATTCTTATTTTCCACTAAACCAGGTAATGCTTTTATTAACATACTTATGTATGCATTAAACACCTGCATTACACCTTCCAAAGCTTGCTCAGACAACTATAGGCTTTCAAGAGGACTAATGTCCTCGCATGGTTCCTGACAGAATGATCAAGAAGGAGCTTCAGAATATTACATCCTTTAGAAAGATCACTGAAGAGTGTTCAAAATATCAACAGAAACTAACAGAGGCAAAATGCATAACAAATATTTTTTGGGATAATTACATTTTTGAGCCGCCCTGAAAATATAATAGCCGACAAATGTATATGTTTTGTTTATTAAGTATAAATATACATATAACATACATAAATACATATAATTCATAGTTAGGTTCTTTTATTTCTCTATTTTAAACCCTAATCTTCTATCTTTTTGATTCCATGCATTTTTGCATTATCCCTGCTTTCGAAATGATTCCGTATCACTTCACTTTTGCACTTCTTGTGTAGATTGACATTGGTACCTACAGATTCCCGAGAGGTACT